GGACGATTGGTTGCTTCTGACGATGGAGCTAAACCGCTCCACAGCTTCTCTTTTACATGAGGTTTGTGGGAAGAGAATCGTAGTTCGCCGCGCCAGCGAGCGTCACGCGCGACCTCACGCCCGCTAATGACGACGACTACGATTCTCTTGCCCGTCTCCCCTTTTACATACGTTAGCTTCAGCATTGGGTTCTGCTCAATAAATAGAAGAAAAGTCGCAGTGTGTGGAGATGTTACAGATTCCTTTCACACCTTATATAATCTCACCAATGCTGGCTAAATTCCCTATATGCTCGCTTACTAGGTTTCGCTCCTGTTGTGAAAACATAACAACACTGATTTGTCCGTCGAACCATCCCTCTTTATCGCTCTTTATTGGAATTTATGTCAAACTCGCGCTAGAAGACTTCTACTAAGCTGTATGGAAGTCAGATGCATGGCGTATTTTACAGGGAGGGAAGGGGAGGTGAGCTCAGGGAGGTTATTGAGCGCTTTTTGGAGCACAATGTTGTATATCAAAGGGGAAAATAAAAGGACCACAGATTTGAGGTTGGTTTTTCCTGCGCGCTCTCAAGGTTGCCAAGAGGACTAGTAACAGTTAAATGGTTCGAATGCGGCGTGATGAAGGCAGTCCATCTTGAATTTCGTGCATTGCATTCTTATATGTCTGGACCTTTTACCCGAACAAAAATATGACCAAAACAGGGCAAAATCATATCTGGAACCAAGCACGCCCTGAGAACACCGAACGTTCTCAATCAGTCTTCACATACTCGAAACTTTCTCGAAGGTTGGTTCTCCCTCCAGGTACTAGGAAGGTGGCCTAGTGGGCATTTATTCAGCGGTCACCACTAAATTATGTGTTACGAGTGTGCATAAGGCAGCTAAACAAATGCAACATCATGTCGGCTTTGTTTGGAGGCAACCTATTGTTTGTGCTGATGTGATTACCTGTGTCCTGACAGCCTACGGAGAGACTATCTAGAGGATGTAGTGGAAACAGGCAGAGAAGCACTGTTCTCGACCCTGCTATGAGAAAAGGTGTGTCTGATAGTGAGGTAGGAAACAGGCACCATAAATACTGTCAGTCTATTGAACCCCTTCCATGGAACCGTGATGTTAAGCATCCCAGATCTGCGATCAGGTCCCATACTGCCGATGAACAGAAAACTCCGAGTTTACAATCGGCTGATCCGACATATCATTGTGGAGACCAAAAACGCTTTCAGGTGTGGAAAAACAGCCAAGTGGGTCATGATGAATGGGAAGAGGAGAGTTTTCGGAATAGTTTCACGTGTATTGGTAACGTCACCTCTCAACCTGATCGCAACTGACATAACTGACCATTCTGTTTCTTCACAGATCTTTGCCTATAGATCGAAACAAGAATAATGGATAGGAAGGGAATATAAGACTATGGTTGTGAAAGTTGAAATTCTGGATGGTTTGTCAGCCTCAAGATCAGTCTTCACTCGTGCCAGACGACGGCAGCGAACTAATGCTATGCTGTGGAAGTAGATGCCCATGACTTCTGATGACAACTCTAAGTAAAGCGTTTGGGGACTATGTCGGAAAGAAACCGATGGAGCCTATCCACCCATACCGTGTCCCAAGATGGAGAGGTCGCGGCTGCGTACTTCATCCAGAGACTACGTAGAAGGCGTTTCTCGTCGGATATCTCTGTCTGAGGCAAGAGTCATCCTGTCTTGTGATAGACAGGACATGCTTAAAATTCTCCCAAATGAGCAATATCCTTGCAAACACGTGAGCGGCACCACGTTCAAATGAAGTACGCTGCTACCCCATCTTCGTGATATGGAGTGCATTCCATGAAGGGACTGTATCTTCGGGAGCTAAATGTAATGCTATGACAGTACGTCGATGTTTATCTCTCCTACTGGTAGTTCTGTGTCCAGCTGCCTATGAAGAGCATTCGTACTGACTGCTGCTGAGTGTCGCTTTTGCCATCATCGCGGCGCTGGCGTGTTCATAAAACGTCTTCATATGATCGTCCTAACAGTTAGCAGCGAAGCAGTACACCGCAAGGCTTTTTTTCTAGCGGTGAAGGACAACCTAGAGATTTGAGAGTTACTCCTTTGCCACCTACATTTACCATAAATCTCATAATTCTGTGCTTTACCTCTGAAGTGAAGAAATGCAATTTCTTTTTCCTGCTCGGCAAAATCACAGCGGAATCGTAGACTTTTCTAAATGTCTAAAGACCTACAAGCGTGGCTCTCAGGTGTTTTCGGATGACAATAAAGAAGTGGCAGCTGATTGGAATTGAATGTTACTATTCATACTTCCCCTGCTCACACATTATTTACCACGTTTTCTTATTTACCTCGTTTTCTCCTAGTCAAAGAAGAGCCTCAAAAGACGAGCAGAACAGGTTCATCTGATCAACAGGTCAAACTGACCACCCCTCGTTATTCTCAAGGTTATAACCCTTCTGCTGTGAACTTCATATTTACTTCGAGCTTACGGCCAGTCCCAAGTCACTTGTGGAATTTGGTAGAAGGGTGTTTATTTGAACCCAACTATCCCTTCATTGGAGGGGAGTTTTCGTTATTCGTTTCATCCTCTTTGTCAGTGTTCAATTCGACACTTCACTATGATTCAATGGGTGACGCTGTGACTCAGACTGATAATGCGGTTGGGACAATGGTGAAGTCTTTTAATGACTCTTCATACGATGGGAAAACTATGCGGTGAGAACTCGATCTGAAGGAAGGGGAACTGGAATTTTTGTGAGGAACAGATGTTTGGTTGAATGACTAATGGGCTGTCGGGACTTGGCCATCTAGCGTTAGGAGGGTGGCTCGTGATTACTTCTTTTTGCAATTCCCTCGTTAAGGAATTCCGGGAACCTCAATCGTCAACCTGCAACCCGTCCAATGATTCGGAGGTGTTATGAAGTAATTAACTGAGATAATTTGTCTGTGGCTTTTGTCTTCAGCTACATACTTACCCATGCAGCCTCCGGACTCATGGCTCCGTCGATGTCTGAAGATTGATTGAAAAGTAGCGAATTTACTCTCTCATTTTTATCTAATTTGATAATGTGAACTCTCAATGATAACTGCTTGACATCAAGCTGCTATTAGGTTGTTCGAAAAGTCCTGCGACACTTTGATTGAATTGTTCTAGAAAAAGACCAAAAATCATTTTGGATGTTTTTATCCCTGATTAGTGGAGACTGTCCTCTGGGGTTTCTGCACATGGGTATATCATGACTTTGAGGAAGTTTTCAAAGCTTAAAAGTCCCCCAGAGATCGAGGTACTTTTCGACCTGTCCCATATTATGAGTTCCTGTAGGGCCACTCCGCCGTAGTCGAGGAAGCTAACACTTACGTTGTCTTGAGGAAGGATATCGCTTGCCATGGCAGAGAGTTCCTTTTGCATCAGCGCTTCCAGGCTGGACTTATTCAACTCGGAAGTAGGCAATGTATAGGTCGGCCACCAGCACAGAATGACGGCCCTTTACTCAAGCTTCTTGAGGCGCAGCCGAACGTAACCACCAGTAAGTTGGCAACCTCTCTAGGCTCCACCTAACTGACAACTGCCATGCTTCTCCGCAGTCTCGGTTATCGGAAAAATTTTTTATGAAGGATGCCTCATGAGTTGAACCCCTCTGACAAGTCATACCGAATGACCGTGACTGAGTTTTTTTTTCCTTGTACACACTGGAGGAACATTTGTGAGATCTTGTGGTTGGTAGAGAGTGGTGGGGTCCTTGCGTACATCTTGCACATGTTCCTCGCAGGATCTCTCAAACAGAAAAGTAGATTGCACAGCCAAAAGCAGATGTGCATGGGATAAAGATTTCAGTAGGTTATTGGTGGGACTTCAAAGCGGTATCTCTGGATACTAGCATAACGGTAAGGACTACAGTCCACTCTAACCAACCTCACAACATGGATGACGTCACGCTTGAATTCTTCAAAAATACTCAATTTTTCTCTACCGCTCGGCAATGCGAAGACCGCATGTTAGGATCAGGCCACACCAAAAGATCGTGGATCTTGATCTGAGAATGCGACCATACCCAGCTTATTCATCAAAGTTAGCAGTCTCTAACTACTACCTTTTTTGATCCCTACCGCATCCTTAAGAAGGCAAAAATTCCGAAAATCGACGTCTACTCAAAAATGAGGTCCACCTCTTCTTCTTATCATAGTTGCCGTAGTTCTAAGAATGGAAATGAGAAGCTGTGCAAAAGAAGGGCACTTAGTCCTAGTCCTTAGTGTAATTACCTTGTCGATTGGAGATGTCTTTTAGTGACTGAAAATTTAGTCCGAAAAATTGGTCAAAGTGTCGCAGGACTTTTCGAACAACCTAATAGATCCAACCTGTCTTCAAGACAAGCTGTCCACTCAGTTCCGTGGATCTTGGTCCTCGCCATGTGAGAGGCAAATGGGTCTGACCGAACACAAGTGCAGGGGAATGGGATGGGCAGAGGGATGGATAAACTCAGCTATGGGATGCGCCACGCACACGACCTCCATTCACATTCCTAATAGCACTCAAAGACATTTGGTCTATATAACAGCTTTCTGAGTCAGATGACACACTTCGCATAGTTGGGAGGACACTTCTAGACATTTTTGAGCCACCGCTAGAGCTCTTTCTCTTCCTGCATACCTTGTCACAGTTCTATTGATTACGGAGTTCTCCAAATACGATCCCAGTTCCAGCGAGCCAGATACAATCCCTTCCCGTTGAAGTTTCCTCAACGACCGCTTGACCCTACTCCCGACTCCTTCAGCGCCGTCGCACGGCCAGCCGCACTCCCAACCATAG